ATTCTGGGAGTTGAAGTCCACACATCTTAAAGTTCCCAAGGTTGAGAAACACTGCTCTAGTCTATATTGGTAAAGTAGTTCCAGTCTCTTTCCTGACCTGGCCTACCTTGAAGGGCTGACAGCTGTTGAAACAGCTGTTAACGGTATTGTGTTCTCATCTATAAGAAGACTCCAACTGCAGAAGTCCACTTTGGGTAAAGGGTGGCCTTCAGCAAAAAGACAAGTTCTAAAATAAAACTATTCAAAGATGTGTGTGTGTGTGTGTATTGAACATGTCGTGCTTAGAACTGTCATCTAGCTGAAGTAATATTACCCAAATTTTTCTGTGGCCAGACAGTCATTTCAGATGTAATTAAGGCAAAGAGCCTGCCTCCAGCTGTACCACCCTGCACGTGGGAGAGAGTCTTGGCCAAGGAGAAGAGTGATAAACTAGTGCTCTGCCAGATGTAGCTGGATTTGCAATTCCATCAGCAAACATGAGCAGCAGTCGGGAGAGAGGGGTGGTCGCACAGCATCTGGAGAGCACTGGGTCAAATGTGAGCGTGCCCATTCTACTTGTCTGAAGCTCTTTAAACCAGATATGTCTTTTCTTGGGACAATTGTGCAATCTCAGGAAAAGACATAGCTGCTTTAAGAAGTTAGGTGGGTCCTGCCTGTGCATCTTCGTGAGCTCCAAACCACCTGTTGGCCTTCAAATCAGAACTGGCGGGACATTTTCAGAACTGCTCTGCCTTCATGCTTGGAAGGCATCAGGTTCAAGGGGGGTGGCTTCTACGATCTTCAGCCAGCAGCTTCTCTCCAATGACGTAGGTGAAATCCTTGACCAACCCAGCTTCCGACAGTCTTTTCAAACTGCAGCCCCTGGAGCATGAGCCATTGACCATCTGAAGACACATCATGCTCTTTTCTGGTGCCTGCCTGACTCTTGCCCATTGCCTTCCAGAGAAGAGAAGATGACAGCAGCCCGCATTAGGAAGTGCCACAAATGCGCTACTGGCTTGATCAAATCGGAAGGCTGCAACCGCATGTCCTGTCGCTGCGGGGCCCAGATGTGCTACCTCTGCCGAGCTGCCATTAATGGGTATGACCACTTCTGCCAGCATCCTCGTTCCCCGGGAGCCCCTTGCCAAGACTGTGCGAAGTGTTCCCTTTGGACAGACCCCACGGTAAGTGCCTGGGACACCCCTTAATTTCTCCTAACCTGCTTCTCTCCACCACCCCAAGGGGATCGACCCCGTGACAATCTCGCTGCGGTTTGCACAATCAGAAACGCCGGTCTTCTGCTCCCTTGAGGCATCTTCATGGGTGCGGTGGGGGCGCTGACTCTGTATCTTGGGATCTCCGGGCTGTGTTGGTTGAGCGCTCTGTCGGTATGTGTTCATCAGTAGAATCTTTCCTTTTCATAGAGGATTTCTCTCCCTCTTGCTGGCGTGCTGTCACCATTTCACACACACCCCACCTTCGTTTTTCCACTGCATTGGAGAGGCTCCGGGTGGCTCAGTCCCCCTTTGCCTGTCGCTGTTGAGATGTTCCCTGGTTTAATATGGGAATGATTTTTTTTTTTAAGTCCTTGTTCTCCTCCTCCCTCTGAACATCCATGCACCATGAAAGCATTTTTGAGCTTATTGGGAACAGCTGTGCCCACACATGGAGGAAAAGGACGGAGATCTCCATGCGTGTGTATCAGATTACAGATGGAGAAACTGGTTCCTATTGACTCATTTTAAATGCCACTTTTAAATAAATCCCCTCCATCCTGAAATCATTAGCTGGTTACTCTAGCTTGATGCAAAGACTATAAAAATATCTCGCACGAGAATTTTCTTGCGTTGAAAGGAATATGTCTGCCGGGGAAGCTTCAGCAGTAAGATTGTCTTTTAGTTTGATTTGGGACTTCGCTTTTCCCACTCTTTCTGGTCGTTGCACTTTTCCCCTTTAGTTTTGGGCACCCAGCCATGGTTGGCCTGGAGACTTACAGTCCAGAGGGAAGGTAAGCAACCTGAAGCCCCAGGGCCAGGTGCAGCCCTTAAATTCCTTCAGTGACCCCAGAACTCCTCCTCAGACCCAGTTGTTGCAAATCAGCGGCACTGAAACATCCCCGAACTGGCATGAGTTCCAGAATAAGGTAAACACAGTTTCTTTTTGAAGCCTAACTCTCCCTTCATAAACTAAAAAAAAAAACCAGAATACAGCAAACAAATCAAAACAGCCTTCCTGTATGTGTGGGACACAGCTCTGCCCCCCATTTGCAACCTTGTCCGTGCCCCCCAAAATACGTAGCGCTTCCTCCCAGCCACCAGAAACTACCCACTGCTGTCTTAGAAGGCTCGCCCCTGAAAAGAAAGAGGAGAAAGGATAAGGCCCAACCTTAAATTGGGTGAGTTTTTCTTTTCTTATCTACCTTTCACAATACCTAATCCTTGAGGTTCACCCAACGATTTTGATCTGGGGTGGGCTCCAGACAGGTAAAAGGAAATAGGTCTTCACAAAAAGCACATTCCAGTTGTAAGATTCCTTCCTTTCAGAGGTGATGGGGGCTGCTGGCTTTAAAAAGGGGGGTTGGTTTTCTCGTTGAGATAAAGTCATTTTGAAGGCAGGCTGTCTGAACAGAGACGAGAGCGCTTCGGGTTCTTTTAGCCTAGCTAGAAAACATCCCTCAAAAACTCAGTCTCATTCTTGATGATTAGAAAGAATGGATTATAAAAAGAAGGAAATTATGATGTAATCTTAGAGCGGTTTGATTAGGATTGTATGTATAACTGCAGAGAGGGAGATCAGAGGCCGCTTCTTTATATACATATTTTTCACGTTTTCAGTGCTTTTATTTTCTTTTTCTTTTTTCTCCTTTTTTCTTTGCATCTTCTTTTCCTCTCGTTTCTTTTTCACATTTACTTGACGCTATTTTTTTCCTTAAATGTATTTCTTATTATATATGGAAGACCTTTTAATAAAAACTGTTTTTTAAAAAAAAACTTAGTCTCCTTCCAGACGCATCCATAATTTTCAGAGCTCTCTTCCTGGATTTAAAGCAGTTTCCGCTATGGGTTGGTCTCTACGGCGTTCTGCTTCTTGTTTCATAGTTTTCCTGGACAGCAAGATTGGAATGATATAATGTCAGCCCTTCGAGGTTGCCCAGATCAGGAAACCGATTCCACACGAAGACTAGTTCTAAGCTTTATCGAGAGAGGCTCTAGTAACAGAATCTTGCAAATCGGGTTGGGTTCTCCCTTCCTCTCCCTCTTAGACCACCTTGAGTCCGAGAGGAGCCAGACTGAGCCTCTTCCTAATACTACCTCCTTTTCCTGGGCATAAGAATGCTTCTGCCCTCAGAAGGCTCTCCACGCTTGGTGGCTTCTTTTCTTCTCGGAAGTTGAGTCATACGCATCATGGCCCTTACTGTTTCTAAATATTCTTCAGGATCACACTTAAGGCAACACTTTTTCTAGTTCCTGCTCACAGTGTCAGTCTTGGTGCCATTTCCCATCATGTTGCCTAGGGTGCCCAGTAGGTTTACAGCCATCTCTCTGGGCATCCACCAGGACACGTAGAATGTAGGCACAGAATTAAGAAGTACCTTTCTTTTTTCCCCCCTTTCTCGCTCTTGGTTTAACAAACTCCTAGTTCCTGTTGCTCCAAACTTGAAGTATTTGGACCTTGTTTAATGAGATCTCAGAAGATGGCAGTCTGGGAACAGGATTTTGATACTCTGTGCGACTCCTCCATGACCAACAGCCCTAGAAGAAGTTATGCGAAATTGTTCAAAGGGTTGCGATGCATTGTGCCGAGTGAGCAAAAATCTGCGAATTTGCATTATTTGCATAACTCAGCTCTTTTTGCTATGTAAAACTTGTATTTACTATGTACAGAATATTGTTAGTATCATCACCTTAACAAGATCCCCATGACTGCCTGCTCAAGTACATGCACGCAATAAATGGGAGAAGAAAACTTTTCATGTTAGCGGCCAGTTCTGGAGAGGGGGATGTTTGAAGGAGGCAGGCGTCACCGAACAGCTGGTGGCTGCATATCTTAGTCTTTAACTTTGTCCCATATAGATGTCAGCAGTTAGTTAATTCTGCCATATGCACATTTGCTTCACATTCCTGTCTCCTCAGCATTCCAGAGGTGTTTCAAGCGTGCTTGAAAGGATTCAAATCATCACTGTCGCATGCCAAGGAATTAACCACCAGTGATGGGATCAGAGAGTAGGAAAGTATGCCCTGGAAATGGGTGGGTTTTCAGGAGCTGCTGGAGCAGTGTCTCTCAATCTCAGCAGCTTTACGTTGTGTCAACTTCAGCTCCCAGAATTCCCCAGCCAGCATGCAGGCTGGGGAATTCTGGGAGTTGAAGTCCACACGTCATAAAGTTGCTGAGACTGAGAAACACTGTGTTAGAGCATTCTGCATCTGTCTGACAATATCTAGATACAGGATTACAGATTAGCCACTTCCAGAATCAATCCAGAGTTCTCATTTGAGGCACAAAGAACCAAGCTCAAATTATTGTATTGTGGACACATTATGCAAAGACTTAGTTAAGTCTCTTCTCTTAAGTCTCTTCTCTCTGGAGAAGTCCATAATGCTAGGAAAGGTGGAAGAAGTAGAGGACAACCAGCAGCAAGGTGGCTGGACTCAGTTATATTGGTGATCCTAGAGGAAATCTTATCTGTGTAGTCACTAAGAGTCAAAACTGACTTAATGGCACATAATATAAATCAGATTAAATCCAGTGATAATATAGATCAGTCCTGAAGCATAGTAGAGGTCTTGTCTTTGATACCACTTGAGCCAACTAATTATTTTGCTCAATTACCTTTGCTTGATTGCTTTTCATCGTCCTAGACAAGTTGTTCAAAATAATGTGGATGATAAAATGATCCCCTCTTGGTGGTGGAACCTACCAATAGAGCAGTGACTTGTCCAAAATCACAAACAATAGCTGCACCTGGAGATTCTTGCAGTGATAGGTTTGGTGCTACGTTGATTAGGCCTGCCTCTGCTCCCCGTGCCATTGGGTCCAGGGTCCAGGTGGCATCTTCTGAAGCTTTAGTTCGTGGTCTTGCATCTCATTCTGGCAAGATGTTTCCATCTGTTGCATCTTTATGGTACCCTTTCTCCAGGAAGTCCAGGCTAGCAAGCAAGGGTTACTTACTTCCTTATCCTTGCAAAGCAAAAGAGAACTCAAGGAAAGATAAAGCTGCGCTTTGGTGTTCCCTGGATGAATGGAGTAATGTCCTCTTCTCATGCTGGTATTAGGAGTAAGTCCAGAGAGGCATCAGTATTAGTCTGTTTCAATGAACATTCTGATGCCACCTTGATACACACATATGTATCTCTGTGTGTGGACACATACACAAGTGCGTGTTTAAAGATGTATTTCAGTATGAGGACCGTTCACGACAGTACATGGTCTCCAAATTGTTCGATGTGGGGGATCCTAGAGACAATACGATCCTTGGTTTATGACTCCAAATGTCTTCCATGCCTAGATTGTGTGAGTTGCAGACTTCTTACACTGTGGTCTTTACTGTGGAGAGGAAAAAGTGGTACTGTTCAAGTCCCACAAGAGTTCATTCTGCCCTAATGATCAGCTTGGAAGATCTGTGAATGTAAACTACTGACTTAGTGAATTCAAGAACAACCTTTGGTTGGACTGAATCATACCCATCATCCAGCCAAATGCTAATTGATTCCCATCAAACAATAAAATGGAGGAGGAAGGGGAGGAGAGGGCTTTGGCAAAACTTCCAGACATGTTTTATGAAATCCAAATTGGGAAACTGGCAAGTTTCTGTCATCCCTCCATCTGTGTGTGTGTGCGTGTGTATGTTCAACTGAGACTGCATGTTTCTTTCCTAGGGGTGTTTCAGGGTATTCTCCAAATGCAGAGCATTTTCCACGGAAGACATTAAAAAGTGAAGAAATGAAAACAAGATGTCCAGTGGAATTTAATATTGTAATACTATAGGGTGTGTTTTTCCCCCTAGCTGCAATGGACATCTCAAGTCATGAGGGAAGAGTTTGTGTCTACGAGGGACAATGATGCTGTGAGATTTGACAACATCTGCTGTACCCTTGCTCCCACAAACCTGTGGTCTTTCTCCTGAACTGGATCTCGCTTGGTTGGCACTGGCTGGAAATGTTTGGTGTCTCGCTTGTAGCGTTTGAGTGTGGGAAATGGGCACTGCAAATAGGACCCCTATTTGGAGTACATGATACGTTTCTTACTGCTCGTTGTTCTCGTGGTAACCCACATTAACATAAAGAAGCTGAGATCTGAACTTAAGTTGGCGTTTTTGCTAGGGACAGCTCCATCCTCAAGTCCTAGCTAAGATCAAAGACCTCCTTCAGCTGCCTTACCTGGTACCTTTCATTCTACTTCCCTGCCCAGTTGCTTGGGCCTAGCAGTCCAGAGCTGGAGCTTTCATCTAAATATGTAATGGTTGAATGTTGTTTGAAATATTAATGGAGCTCCAGCCCCTCCTTGAAAGATCCCACCTGCTGCCATCTGCTTGCTGGGCCAGTCGGCGCACAGCCGGATTGGCACTCCTTCTCTGCTCGGCTTCGCAAAGAGGGCGAGGGTTCTGTGCAGGTCTGCAGCAAATCGTTATCAGCCTGATAGAAGTCCTGCTGTTTTGCTCTCTGTTCCCTCCCCGACCACGTTACAAATTGTCCTGAAAAATACGCCGCACCCCCAGCTTACCACCCCCTAAACGCTTAACTGTGGTCACTCAGAATGGCTGTAATTGACTTGTGACCAGAAAAATGTGTCACGGTGCATTCTCATAAGAAGCGGAGGGGAGGCACCAGATTTATTAGCAGATTCCCGACAATTCTTAGTAACTTTTTTTTTTCTTTTTCTTTTCCTTTTTAAAGATGAGCTCTTAGGCCTTCTGGCTCCGAAGGCATGCCTTAAAGTGTTGTGGGTGGAATTTCGGGAACTAGAGAAGCAGGGGTAGCTATGAAATATTTGCAATCGTCAGGGGTGGTCCAATGTGAATAAATAGCAGCAGAAATGAGTAAATGTCGCAAAATACATGTGTGCAGAATAAACAGGATTTTCTCCTTGCAGAAACTGGGAGCGCCTTCGTTCAGCATTTCAATTTTTCTTTCTTTCTTTTTTTACATAAATTTAGGCATATTGATCTATAGCTCTCTTGATAGCTCTGGGTGTTCCTGTCCCTTACAGGAGGACGATGAGAAGATAATCCAGGAAATTCAGAAGGAAGCTGAAGAAGAACAAAAGAGGAAGAATGGAGGTTTGTTTAATCTTTTAGTTGAATGTGTAAGAGCAGCTCGGCTGTGTTGGAATATTAGTCTGGAACTCCCTTAAAGAAACATCGATCTGGCACCCGGGTCAGTCAAAATGACTCAGTTGCTTCATCCCTGTCCCGAGAAGGCAATTCAGACAGAGGACAATAAGCTTTTAAAATTGTCACACTCTTCCCCACCTTCTATTTCTGATATATATATTTTTTTTCTTTTGCAGAAAACAGTTTTAAGCGGATCGGGCCCCCTGCAGAAAAGCCTGCAGAGAAGATCCCACGGATTGAAGCCATCCCCAGGCCGGTTCCCCAGAATCTCCACCACCACCAAATGCCCCCGTATCCATTCGTCCACCCCCCTTTCCCCCTCCCCCCGGTGCGCCCCCTGTACAACAACCTCGGCCCCATTAATCTCGGCCCCATCCCAGCCCCTTATGTGCCCCCGCTCCCCAATATGAGGGTGAACTACGACTTTCCCCAAATGAACCTGCAGTTGGAGCACAATCTTCCTATGCACTTTGGTCCTCAGCCTCGACATCGGTTCTGACCCAGTTCAGGGAGGCGCCGTTCCTTCTGGAAGTTGCTGCAGGGAAAGTCCGCACACTGGTAGATGGTCCCCTCTTCTCCCTTCCTGTTAAACTCCAGGTGCAGAGTCCACCTTCACTCCTTCCCCCGGTTGTGTCGTTCCCCGGTTCAGACTTCCGGGTTCACCCTCTGCTAGATGCAGAGGTGCCCTCGTTGCAAAAAAAAGGTTTGTCCTGGCACTGTTGTTCTGCAGGCACTGTTGGTTTAGGAGAGGATTTCTGAATGAGGTGAGTTGGAGGGACAGCACTGCAAAAATGCGTTCTGGTCAGCGGGACAGCCTGAACTGGAAGCCGTGTGGCTCCCCTCCATGGCAGCAGAACCACCGGCATCTCAACCAAGCAGAGGTTGACGCTGGCGGAGGAACCCTCTGGAATATTTGAAACGCTCAGGTGGCCACCCAGACTTTCAGAAAGCGAGGTGCGGGGGGCTTCTTAGCTTGTTGCTCCACTGCTTCCCTCTTCTGCTAGAAAGCGCCCTTTTTAATGGGTCGGGATTTCCCAAAGCAAGCTTGGACAGACCCAGCTCACCCACTCCGAAACCTGACGGGCCTTGGTTACAGCTCAGGGCACGCTTAGAAAGCACAGACCGGATAGGTCTTGAAATGAAATCAGTGGCCCAGCCATTGCCATGGCTGGTGGCTGGTGTTCTGTCCTTGTGTCTGGAGTTGGGCCCCTGATTTGGCTAGTTACTCTTAAGCATTGTGGACCCCCCTGGAGCTGCTCTCGGTTGAGAGCATTGTGCATGGAAACCTTGGGATGGAACGATAGCCCCCGCTGGAGGAGTTGATGACAAACAGGCTGGTCTACAAAGAGGTCAAATGATTAGGGTTCTGTGGAAAGACGACAGGCGTGCAATTGTGCCTCCTCCGCTTTCTCTGGTGTTGGGGTGAATGCTCAGGTTGCTACCGTGGCATGCAATATGTTGGGAGTGTAGTCCGTGTGGCTGGGAGAACTGTCCCTGTGCACCTTGAGGGACATGCTTTGGACACCTGTGGAGGCATATGGCCGTAAGCTCCTTTATGCATCCTTCATGCAGAGCTGCTCTCTTGAAGCCCCAGGGGTAGACATGCAACCAAGCTGCTGGCTCTCTCTCTGCTGTCTGTTGTCCCATCGTTGAGATTTTCAGCAGAAGTGATGGCTTTAGATCAACGCAGCTCGTTGTATGGATGGGTGGGGTCAGTTCTCCAAATGCTCCTGTTTCCCCAGGAGTCCCCTCCCATCATTTGTACACCGGTGTGGTTCCTCTCCATCCTCTGTGGCTGCACACCTTCCCTGTGAAGAGGTGTGGCCCCAGAAGCATGTCAAAAAGCTGCTGCGTGATCAGCCAGCCCACAGGAGCTTCAAGGACAAGGAATTGAGCCCCACAGCTGGTTCTCATGATTTCTGCTCTCTGTGTCACTGTTTCTCAACCTCAGCAATTTTGGGAGTTGAAGTCCACACATCTCAAAATTGCTGAGGCTGAGAAACACTGCTCTGTATGAATCAGCTTAGCGTCAGTCAGGAAGGGACACTGATGGTGTCCTTAGATACAGCCCTTCCCAAACCAGCAACCTTCAGATCAGACTGAAGACTTTCCTCCCAGATACGTTTACCAGCAAGGGTCTCTTTGGGTCAGACTTCTGGGAGCTGCGACCCTCGTGTGTCTGGAAGATGCCAGATTGGGGAAGGATGGGGCAGAAAATGGTTTTTTCCGACTCCTTTTCTTCTCTTCAACATAAATCCACCGAGGGAATCTCCCCATGGTTTCCTTCTGGGCATTGGCTCGGTTCAAGCAATATAGAACAAATGATGTTTTTGAATCTGGACTAGCTCTGAGGTCGTCTCCCAACCCCCTCCCCCCAAAATCCCATTTCCTCTGTAAGAAAAACTATATATTCCTGGAAAGACAGGATCCTTTGACTCTGGCCATAGCAGAGAGGACGGAGGCACGTGAACATGGTGACTTTTCCCTCCACTCGAACTGTAAGTGTGAAAAAGAATCAGGGAATTGCCAGATGGCGAAGCCATTGCTGCTTTTCAACAGTGACTCTCCTGATTCTAGGTACCTGTGTCCCTTACGTGATCTTATCAAAGCAGCGTTTATTTTCCCACCTGGAAATCAAGCAGTTCAAATCCTCCTCTCTCCCCTGTCCCTTTGACCTCGATAATACAACCCAAAATCTTTACAGATAGGTTTTCTTTCAAATCCCTGGTTTCTGAAATAACCCCGAGATGCTTAGAATAGCTGCTCATCCCCAGGGGTTCTGGGGACCCACGTCCTTCCTGATCAGTAAACGTTGATCAGGCTAGTCAGCAGCAGAACGTTCCCACGGTGAATTGTGGAGCCTTTTCCTTGGTGAGAAAATGGGATGCCTTCAACTGTGAAGACGTGGGTAAAGGTTGGGTTTAGTTGGGAATTTAATCTGATAGGAGCCATATTCCCCACGTCCTTTCAGCCATCCTGGTTTTCTGCCAGCTTCAATTCCGTTGCGTTGCCATTCCGGTACCATCTTAGCTACGTAGGTTAAAAATAATGTTGTTAGCTTCCTGTTTCTTTGCCACAGTTTGGCCGTGAAAACAAAACCAACCCGATCCATTAAGACCAGGCTGATCCAATGCTGCTCTGTTGATTTTATTCAGGTTTTAAAATCGGCACCTTAACCTTAAGGGATCAGCTTCCTTGAAGTAGCAATTGTCATGGGCTTGTCTCATTCATATATATATATATATTCTAATCCATGCAGACCCATCTTGGATTTGAAGCAGTAGCAAGAAAATATATATATATATATAT